TAACGGCTATCAAACAGTTAGTCTGCCATGTTCATTTGTGTTAGACAACGTTACCTGTCCAGGCAATGCAATGAGTTTAGTACAGTGTAATCATCTTACACTTTCCAATGAACACTGTACATCAAACAGTCATGTGAGTGTTCTATGTTCATCAGTACCGACCACAACTGCTCCAAGCACCACAGAAACGACAACTACAGCAACCACGACAAAAACCACAACAACCACCACGACTTCAAGAACAACACCGACTGTTACATTGTGTCCAATGATATCATCACCTATGGTTCCATCGAATAATACGCTGCCGGCACAGTGTTCAACATATAAAACTGTCACTGATGGCAGTCGTCGTGTAACTGCTCCATCTGGTATCTTTAGTGATCTTGGTTATCCGTTTAATATTTCTACAACTGGCGCATGGGTACGCTTTATGGGCGATGCCGGAACACAGTTAGTTAGTTGTCCAATAAGTGGTAATAGATGTGGAGCGCAGTATACTCTCTGGTACGGTAACAATCATCCGTCAACAACTGGAGGAACATCTTCTGGATTAGTTTGTTATACAGTAGGCAGTGCCCAATGTTACTTGACAAACTCCATCTCAGTTACAAACTGTAATGGATTTTTTATATATTTATTAACTAAAACAGTGTATAGCTATGCAAGGTATTGTACGCAATGAACACGAGAACACTGTAGAGGACATATAGAATTTTATATAAATAGAATAAATGCACCCCTTTTTCAAGACAAACTGTACTAAAATTGTCTTTTTATTTAGTTTCTAATGTTTTCCGTGATAGAAATAATAATGGTTCTTCTAAGTAATTCAATGGTTAGACGAGTATTTCTCAGTTTTTAATAAACTGATTATTGCTAAAATTGCCATTCATTAGGGCAGTCATCCTATTCCGCAATGTTGAACATTGCGGAATCAGTTCCGTCCCGGAATCAGTAACTACGAATTCCGGAATCACTTGCATCCCCTATTCTAAGCTAGAATTCCCGGAATTCCCTCAATACGGAATTACTAGGAATAACTCGGAATTGCTAGAAATTCCGGAATTACTTGAAGTATGGACTAATGTGCTGTAACGAGGAATGGTAGATAACTTTAATCTGAAGCGGAATTCCCGGAATTCCTTCCGTGCGCAATGATGGGGATGTACTTTTATCCGATTTTGTTCAATTACAGGTGTGTAGTCTCGGTTACAGCACTGAATGATAGTGTGTAATGTAGCGATTACAGGATGCCTTTCTAGGGGCCGAGTTTGACACGTGTGAGAAACAAAGGAGCCTAAATGATTGAACTAGCTGGATTACAAGACAAAAATCCCCAACAACTATAAGTGGATGTAGCAAGTTAATTTCCAAAACGTTGTGTTGTATCTTTTTTCGAAAAGGTTGATCAAAGTTTCTTAAAAAAGAGAAAAATGCCAAAACAGAGTAGATGCTTTCTTACCAATAATATATCAATAACTATCTACAATCTTTTATCAAAGGAATTAAAAAGTAAATATCATCGTATAGGGCTCATGAGATCAAATTTCGTTATAGCAACGTCCGTCCATATTCTCAGAAAGATGGTTTTAATTATTTCGAATTAGAAAGTATCTTAATTATGTTATACCCATCTACTTTTACCGACCTAGTACTATGCGATTTCCACTCATAGCATCGTATTAATAAACTTAATAGATCAAATCACTTTTCACATCATCACTGAGTGCTGTAAGCAAGACTACGAATCCTTTATATGAAGATTATTAGAAAAAATATCTTTTGGGAAATATCTTCAAAGGTAATAGTCAATGTGTATGGAAGCGTTGCTAGGAGATTCAGTACTTGATGAAATCTATTTTTCTGATGTAAAATGGCTGAGAAATGACCAAAATAAGGTGATTTTTTGTTCAAGTGATCCGAATTAGCCTAGATGACTATTTATTTTATTTGGAGTATATTCAAATTTTACATCTTAAGGTACGTTATGATGTTATAATAAAGATATTTCTTTTCAGTAGATTAGATTTAAATGCAGCATGAAGTAATGAAGGATTATCTTATAAATAAAATACTTTATTATTTAGTTACTAACTATCAAGGTTTAAAATAATCCCGTCTGAACTGAGTAATTTCTCGATAATTCACTTTTTTAACGAATTGTTCTCGGGACAAACTGGTACCAGAAAAGAATACAGTACACTTTGAAAAATAATAAAACAACTTTCCCTAAACTTGCTTAGCAATTCTTCATTAGCTCAACCACCCGTTCCAACGCGCAGCTTAAACGGGCGTCCGCACGCCCGCCCATACAATAGTTCCTGTTTCTCTTTTGTCCGCCACTTCCGCGGGAGTTCAACCACCCGTTCAAACGGGCTGTTTGAACAAGCGTTCGAACACCCGGTCACACGATAGTTCCTGTTTCACTTTCGTCTGTAACTTCAAAGGGAGTTCAACCACCCGTTCCAACGGGCACTTTGGACGGGCGCTCGAACGCCCAGTCACACGATAGTTCCTGTTTCTCTTTCGTCTGTAACTTGAAAGGGAGTTCAACCACCCGTTCCAACGGGCTGTTTGAACGAGCGTTCGAACGCCCGCTCATACAACAGTTCCTGTTTCTCTTTTGTCCGCCACTTCCGAGGCAGTTTAACCACCCGTTCAAACGGGCTGTTTGAACAAGCGTTCGAACGCCCGGTCACACGATAGTTCCTGCTTCTCTTTCGTCTGTAAGTTCAGCGGGAGGGCAACCGCCCTTTCCAAAGGGCCGTTTGACCGGGAGTTCGAACGCCGGCTCATACAATAGTTCCTCTTTCTCTTTCGTCTGTGACTTCAGCGGGAGGGCAACCACCCGTTCCGAAGGGCAGCTTAAACGGGCGTTCGCACGCCCGCTCATACAATAGTTTCTGTTTCTCTTTTGTCCGCCACTTCCGAGGCAGTTTAACCACCCGTTCAAACGGGCTGTTTGAACAAGCGTTCGAACGCACGGTCACACGATAGTTCCTGTTTCTCTTTCGTGTGTAAGTTCAGCGGGAGGGCAACCACCCGTTCCAAAGGGATGTTTGAACGGGCGTTCGAACGCCAGCTCATACAATAGTTCCCGTTTCTCTTTCGTCTGTGACTTCAGCGGGAGGGCAACCACCCGTTGCAATGGGCTGTTTGAACGGGCGTTCAAACGCCGGCTCATACAATAGTTCCTGTTTCTCTTTCGTCTGTGACTTCAGCGGGAGGGCAACCACCCGTTCCGAAGGGCAGCTTAAACAGGCGTTCGCATGCCCGCTCATACAATAGTTTCTGTTTCTCTTTTGTCCGCCACTTCCGAGGAAGTTTAACCACCCGTTCAAACGGGCTGTTTGAACAAGCGTTCGAACGCCCGGTCACACGATAGTTCCTGTTTCTCTTTCGTCTGTAACTTCAGCGCGAGGGCAACCACCCGTTGCAATGGGCTGTTTGAACGGGCGTTCAAACGCCCGCTCATACAATAGTTCCTGTTTCTCTTTCGTCTATCACTTCAGGGGTAGTTCAACCACCCGTCCCAACGGGTTGTTTGAACAAGCGTTCGAACGCACGCTCATACAATAGTTCCTGTTTCTCTTTCGTCTGTAACTTCAGGGGGAGTACAACCACCCGTTCCAACGGGCAGTTTGGACGAGCGTTCGAACGCCCGCTCATACAATAGTTCCTGCTTCTCTTCCGTCCGTCACTTCAGGGGGAGTTCAACCACCCGTTCCAACGGGCAGCTTAAACGGGCGTTCGCACGCCCGCTCATATAATAGTTTCTGTTTCTCTTTTGTCCGCCACCTCCGAGGCAGTTTAACCACCCGTTCAAACGGGCTGTTTGAACAAGCGTTCGAACGCCCGCTCATACAATAGTTCCTGTTTCTCTTTCGTCTGTCACTTCCGGTGGAGTTCAATCACCCGTCCCAACGGCTTGTTTGAACGGCCGTTCGAACGCCCGGTCACACGATAGTTCCTGTTTCTCTTTTGTCCGCCACTTCCGAGGCAGTTTCGAACGCCCGGTTTGAACAAGCGTTCGAACGCCCGCTCATACAATAGTTCCTGTTTCTCTTTCGTCCGCCACTTCCGAGGAAGTTTAACCACCCGTTCAAACGGGCTGTTTGAACAAGCGTTCGAACGCCCGCTCATACAATAGTTCCTGTTTCTCTTTCCTCTGTAACCTCAGGGGGAGTTCAACCACCCGTTCCAACGGGCAGTCTGGACGGGCGTTCGAACGCCCGCTCATACAATAGTTCCTGTTTCTCTTTCGTCTGTAAGTTCAGCGGGAGGGCAGCCACCCATTCCAAAGGGCTGTCTGAACGGGCGTTCGACTGCCTGCTCATACAATAGTTCCTGTTTCTCTTTCGTCCGTCACTACAGGGGGAGTTCAACCACCCGTTCCAACGGGCTGCTTAAACCGGCGTTCGAACGCCCGCTCATACATTAGACTGCTATGTAAAAGTAGATACTGTTCTTGCAATTATATAGTTTAAACAGTCTTAAAGGAATAAAAAAAATGAGATTACATTGAATTCAGTAGCAGTAGACTCATTTTTAGTGTGGCATACAAAGACTATGTTACACGCTTGTTGTATGATAGCTCATATCGCTTTTTGTATAACAATAGCAGCTTGTACAAGGGCAACACATAATTGTGAAAAGACTGTAATGAAACAAATATCTTCATAAGTATATCTTCACCCCTGCTAACATGTGGGACGATCAGAAAAGTAGAACTTCAAATCAATTTCGAACCAGGTCCGTCGCCATCTGCAACGGGTCAAACCGTTCCAACGACGTTCAAGAACTGGACCCGTTCAAAGAACTGTAAGGAGTTCAACAACCCGTTCCACATGGTCTATTAATGACCGTTCGCCTACTTCAGCGGGAGCTCAACCACCCGTTCCAACGCGCAGCTTAAACGGGCGTTCGAACGCCCGCCCATACAATAGTTTCTGTTTCTCTTTCGTCCGCCACTTCCGAGGAAGTTCAACCACCCGTTCCGACGGGCAGCTTTAACGGGCGTTCGCACGCCCGCTCATACAATAGTTTCTGTTTCTCTTTTGTCCGCCACTTCCGAGGCAGTTTAACCACCCGTTCACACGGGCTGTTTGAACAAGCGTTCGAACGCCCGGTCACACGATAGTTCCTGTTTCTCTTTCGCCTGTCACTTCAGGGATAGTTCAACCACCCGTCCCAACGGGTTGTTTGAACGGCCGTTCGAACGCCCGGTCACACGATAGTTCCTGTTTCCGTTTCGTCTGTAACTTCAGCGGGAGGGCAACCACCCGTTGCAATGGGCTGTTTGAACGGGCGTTCGAGCGCCCGCTCATACAATAGTTCCTGTTTCTCTTTCGTCTGTCACTTCAGCGGGAGGGCAACCACCCGTTCCAAAGGGCTGTTTGAACGGCCGTTCGAGCGCCCGCTCATACAAT